CCCCAAAGCCCCCCAGTACATAGTTGTATATTCTAGTTGTAGGTCCTTCTGATTGCACTGTGTGGGACACCGCCTCAGCATGGCTTGATGAGCCACGCCATGTCCATGCCCAGGATCTGAACTGGCGAAACCCTGGGCCACTGAAGTGGAGCATGTGAATTTAACCACTTGGCCACAGAGGTGGTTCCTGTAGCTGTCTTTAAGATCAGTTAGAAGACAAAAGGATTTACAAATAAAAATTTATATGTATACTCTCTTTCATATTTATACATGCAGTTACCTTTACCAGTATTCTACTTCTTCATGTAATTTGAGTTACTCACTAGTGTCCTTTCATTTCAGCCTGAAGGACTCCCCTTAGTATCACTTTCAGGTCATGTGTGCCAGTGACAAATTCTCTGCTTTTGTTAATTTCTCCTTCATCTTTGAAGGATAGTTTTTCTGGCTATACAACTCTTGGTTGGCAATCTCTACTTTTAGCACTTTGAATATGTCATCCTTCTGCCTTGTGGCCTCTCTGGTTCCTGATGAACAATCAGACATTAATCTTATTGAGGATTCCTTGTATGATGAATTGTTTCTCTTCCTGCTTTCAAGATTCTTTCTCTTTGGTTTTCAATAATGATTATGACATGTCTAGGTGTAGATATCTTTGAATTTATTCTACTTGGATTCGTTGAGCTTCTTGGATATGCAGATTAACGTTTTTCATCAAATTGGCAAGTTTTCAGCCAAAAGTTTGAAGTTTTCTTCAAATATTCTTTCTGTCTCTTTCTCTCCCTTCTCCTTCCAAGATTCCCATTATGCTTATGTTGGTACACTTAACAGTGTTCTACAGGCCTCTGAGGCTCTGTTTATTTCTCTTCATCCTTTTTTCTTTCTGTTCCTCAGACTAAATAATCTCAATTGACCTATCTTTAAGTTTACTGATTCTTTCTTCTGTTTGCTCGAGTCTGCTATTGAGCCCCTATGGTGAATTTTTCAATTCAGCTATTCTACTTTTCAACTCCACACTTTCTCTTTGGTTCTTTTTTTATAATTTCTATCTCTATTGATATTCTCCATTTGGTGGCACACTGTCTCATATTTTCCTTTGGTTCATTAGACATAGTCTCCTTCAGTTATTTAAACATATTTAAAGTCTTTGGCTAGCAGGTACAACATCCAGGCATCCTCAGTAATAGTTTGTATTGACTCCTTTTTTCCCTATATATGGGATATTTTTATTGCTCTTTGCATATCCTGCAATTTTTTGTTGAAAATTGAACATTTTAAAGAATATAACACAGAAACTGAAAATCAGGCTGTTTGTTGTTGCTATTTGTTTGTTTAGTGACTTTTATGAACTAATTCCGTAAAGTCTGTATTGTTTGTCCTGTGTGGCTACTGAAATCTCTGATCAGATAGCTTAGTAGTTAGGTAATGATTAGATAGAGATTTCCTTAAGTTCACGGAGCCAATAAGTTTCCCAGTGTTTGCAAAGGGTCTCTGTGCACATGTTGGGGTGGACCTTCAACACAGCCAGGTGGAAGTTCCCAACTCTGTGTTAGCTTTTACTTCCTGTTTGAACAGAGCCTAAAGGTTGGCCAGAGGTGAGAGCTTAGGGTATCTTTGGGTCTTTTCAGGGCATGTGTGTAGCCATGGGCATGCACACAGGCCTATGCATTTGGATGGCCTTCTAGATTCCCAAGAATATTTCAAAGTTTTCCAAAGTCCCCTATGGACATCTCATTCCCTAGATTTTTCTTGTAAGCTTTTTGGTTAGCTTACTGTTTGCTCCAGTCACTATTCACTGCCTCAGACAGCTGTGATGTTAGGCATTTGCCTCTGATTGTTTTTGACAAAGACCACTGGAGAAAAGACCATTTGCAGTGGTGAGCTCCAAGGAGAGTCAAATAAAGATAGCTTTGCAAATGACCAAAAAATAATCCTGACTGCAAGAAACGACCATGGCATAGACCTTGAAGAGAGAGTTGAAATTAGGCTATAACACATTCCTATAAGATTTACTCATATTCACAATGAGCAGCTTCTATGGATTTTAATTAAATAAGTTGTCAAATATCAGGCAACTCTTTTTTTCTGTGCCATTTCCAGGTTTGCAACAACTAATAGTACTTAATAAACTAATTCTGAGTAACTCTTTGATAACTTAAGAGGATTCTCCATCGTATTTCCATTTGATAATATGTCATCTCTATAGGGGGGGCTTCTTTTAACACTCTATCAGGATTACCCTCTTCTCTGGATTTCACTCATAGCACTTATTAAAACACGGAATTATATATTTTTGAATTTGGCTAACTTTTTCAGTGAAATATCAGCTTAGATAGGCGAGGTCTTTATTTCTCTTGTTCACTGCTATACCTCCAGAGAATGGCATTGTGCCTGGCTCATAGCAGGCATTCAACAAATATTTTTGGTATGGTAAATGATCCTACAATTACAACCAAACATTTCAATTCCATATTCTATTGAGAAAATGAAACCTAGGCCATTACTTTCCACACCACTAAGTAGCAGACCCTTAGTCAAGAAGAGGAGGGGAGGTGCAAAGCTAAGCCCTATAATGAGGTGCAAAAGTGACAAGAGTCCTTAAACAAGACACTGATCATCATTCAAGATTAGATTTAGTCTGAATTAATCATATTAAGTCACACTTAAATGAAAGTATATCCATCATTTAAACTGGATAATATAGACAACATTGTTTTTCAATCATATCTATTTAAATCTTCCCCTTACTCAGACCATTGAAGCCACTGAAATCCCTTTGGTATTTCTGATCTATATAGATTTTTAATTTTTTAAAGAATAACCGCACTATATGCAATTCCATTCAATCCTAGTAGGAATTTTTAACTACAGTATACAATTTGTAGACAAAAAATAGTACATGGTAACTATTAATATAAGATCAGCAAACAATACCAGATTCTTTCACCTATTATCTCACTTACTTTTAACTCTTCGATGTATTATTATTCCAACTTAATAGATGAGGAAAGTCAAGTTCAGAGAGGTTGAATGACTTGGCTAAAGTCATACAAGTAACAAACAACAGGGCCTGAGCAGGTGCTCTGACTAAGACTAGTGGTCTTTCCGTTAACACACAGCTCTTAAAGAGCTATTTGGAAGTGCTCTCTAAACAATAATGGCCATACTACAAAAAACCTTAATTTACTCTAGGTCCAATACTTATAAATATGCCACTTTAATCCTTCCTCCAAAATACAAAGCCAAATTGATAGACATACTTTCATTTAAGTATGACTGATTGGACTAAGTCAGATGAAAATTAATCTTGGATGATAATGTATTTAGAAGTGTTTCAGAAGTTTTAAGATATAAAGGGAGTATCTATCCACTTAAAGACCTGAAGATCAAATTTTTAAACACTCGTTTCTTTACAAAGAGGTATTACCACATTCATTATCTTCTTCCTCTCTCACACCCTTCTTCAACCGGACATGCAACTACCACGACCCTAACCACCACCCCACACTGCCTAGCCGAGCACTTAACCTGCCTCCACTGTAGAGGACAATGGTCTCAGTACACACATGTAGCCTGTGCAAAAATTACACTATTTCAAATCCAAAGTAAAGAAATGTGTGAGATGGACAGGAAAACATCAAAACCATCTTTGCATGCAGAGCACACAGGACACACACAGCCTGCATAGTCTATCTTGTTCTTTGATCACTAACTTCACAAAGAGGAAGTCCAAAACACGAACGTAACTGCTAATGGTAAAAGCAGCACTTTACAAGAAAAGGGAAAGGAAAAGAAACTTCCTTTTTGCAGATAGCCATTTTGAAGAATGGAAGAAAGTCTGGGCTACCTCTCTTCCTTGAATCCAGGAGAAGTGTTTGGGTGAAGACTGATTCAGGACCAAAAACTGTTAAACACCTTAAGTTGACCCACATTATCCCTTTTCCCGGATTCCGGTTTCCTCCCCTTGATGCCCCTGCTTAGCTAGATCAACCCAGCCTGACTTGTTCTAATTCCAGACCTGGGCTCTCTGCCTTCTCCCTTACTTTTCTCATCCCAGACTGACTCCTTAAGAAAAGACTTCCCAAACCCACTCTCCTGTGGCAGATGGGTCTTCCACTGTTCTCTCAGAGACTCGAGTGGAAATTCTTCTCATGCGTTTACTCCCCTTCTCAGCAGGGAATGTTTCCTCTGCCACTGGCCTGCTCAGCCCCCTCCAGATTAGGACCCGCCTCTCAGACCCACATGTTCTTTGCAACTTTTCTTCTCACACACACCCTCAGACCATCCTCCACGTGCCCTCAACTCTCAGACCCACATCTGCGCCCCTTGCAGACTCAGGGCCCCTTCAAAAGAGCCCCCCCTCTCAGATCTACATTTCCTTCCTCAGAGCCTTTGCTTCCCAGACTCACGCCCCCCTCAGACCACCTCCTCTGTCAGACCCACACACCTCCCCTGGATCTGCCTCCTCAGACCCATGCTCCTCAACTGGATCTGCTTCCATCGTGAGACTCATGTGCCTCTCCTGGATCTGCCTCACCTGTTAGACCCACGCACCTCACCTGGATCTGCCTCCCCTGTTAGACCCACGCCCCTCTCCTGGATCTGCCTCCGCTCCCAGACCCACGCGCCTCACCTGGATGTGCCTCCTCTCTCAGACCCACGCCCCTCTCCTGGATCTGCCTCCTCTCTCAGACCCACGCCCCTCTCCTGGATCTGCCTCCTCTCTCAGACCCACGCCCCTCTCCTGGATCTGCCTCCTCTCTCAGACCCACGCCCCTCTCCTGGATCCGCCTCCTCTCTCAGACCCACGCCCCTCACCTGGATCCGTCCCCTCTCTCAGACCCACGCCCCTCACCTGGATCTGCCTCCTCTCTCAGACCCACGCCCCTCAGCTGGATCCGTCCCCTCTCTCAGACCCACGCCCCTCAGCTGGATCCGTCCCCTCTCTCACACCCACGATCCTCACCTGGATCTGGCTCCGCTCCCAGACCCACGCGCCTCACCTGGATGCGCCTGGCCGTGCCCATCCGCGTCTGCTGCACAAAGGGGTTGGGCACGGGCGGCGGGAAGAAGGACGCCTGGCGGGGCACCATGAGCCGCCGCAGCCCCGCGTTGCCGACGCCCGCGCCTGGCACCGTGGCGGCCACCGCCGCCGCCTCTGCGCACCTGCTCATGGCCAAGCCGGGCGTTGGACCAACGCAGAGCTAGCGGCAGGCGCGAGCGGGAGCTGCCCGGGAACCCAGGCAGAGGCGCCGCTGCGCAGGCGCCGGAGTTACCTAAAGAGCCGGGTCTCGCCCCGCCCCTCCGGCTCGGAACCCAGGCCCTGGCCCCGCCCCCTGAGCGCTGGCCCCACCCTTTTAGGTATGCGGCTCTTCCTCTTTGGCAACATAGCTCCGCCCCTTGGAAGCGAATGTCTTTGCTACAGAGCAACGCCCCCCCAGTGAGAGTTTAGGCAGAGTCTCGGCCTGAGGGTCAGGCCGACCAGGACTACCAATCTCTTTTACTGGCTCAGTGACGTTGGCCACATCACTGTCTCCGTGAGCCTCAGTTGCCCCCTTCTGTAAAACGTGGATAAACAGAACTTGGATAAACAGAACCTGAATCCAGCAACTCCAGGAGCAATCCCTAGGCTGTTCCATTAAAGTGAGTTAATATATCCGGGGTGGGTTTTGTTTTATGTGTTTGATTTCTGGCGTATGTTTTGTTTTTGCTCAAACCAGTTTGAGTTGGATGTTTATCACTTACAGCTGAAATTGATACCAGGAGTGAAATCTGTTTAGCTCACAACATGGATTGACAGTGGGGAGATGGTTCTCCAAAGGGAAATTCAGGTATTACTAGAAAAAGGCAAAAACAGCTATTGCCCTCCTTCCTAGATGAGGAACCGGGCCCCTAAAAGGGAAATAACTTGGGCTGTGGCTCCATTTCACCCTGAGAAATTTCAAGGGCCTGTCTGGACCTATCTGGGTGGTTGGGCAGGGGGAGGAGAGGGATTTTCCCAGGACCTGAGACCACTAGTCAAGCCCTGAGTGGCTGAGAAGCAGAGGATGGCGATGCTGATCACTGCTCACAGCGGGCTGGAGGCCACGGTGGGAATCTGCGTCTGGACCCTGGGACAGTTGCTCCTTCAAACTTACCCACTGTAGGATCTCAGAATGCCAACCCTGCCAGATAGACGTGTGCCCTTCAGCTACTCGCTTAACCTCTCTGAGCTTGTATCCTCATCTAGGAAGGGGAAAAGATGAATTCCTCCCCCATAGGGTTGTAGTGATATTAAATAAAATAAGGCGTGTTTAGTGTTCACAGAAAAGCACTCAAGAAATGGCACCTTTTAGGTACTATTACTCTGTGGAGCAGCTGAATTTTATCAGTGAACAAAGCGCTTTAATGACAGTGTAATACAGCCATGAAGCTCCCCCAGCCTCATGGATCAAGTCGGGGCTGGCAGACCCTTGTGGCTCTTAGCCATAAAACTGCACACAAAGCTGCCTCTCCAGGGTCCGCAGGGACCTGAGACAGTGGGCAGGCCACAGGAGGAGAAAAGATGACTCTGGGCCCACCAAAGTCACCCCCAGAGAGTCCTGTCCACTCCTCGCCCCCTTCCTGACCAGCTCCACCATGAGACGCCTGAAGCAGCAGACCGTGGGAGCCAGAAGGGGCCTCTGAAAACACTTCCAGACCTTAAATGCGTGTTGCAGCAGCTCCGAAATTTCTTATAGGAGGGGGTAGGGGATTAGGCCCTCTGGGGGGAAGAGGAGCAAGGAACCTGCCCATTAGTGGAAGCTGTGCTTAGAAAGCGCACACCCCCTCTCCCAGCTGTGTTCACTTAGGGCGGCATTGTGGGTGGTGGCAGGTAATGCTGCTGATGGCGATTCTGGGCTGCGGGCTAAAGCTCCTCCTCTAGGTCATCTTTGACCTTGACTCAGATTGTTACCCATAGCTCTGCTACCCTGAGCAAATCACTTTTCTCTGGGTGTGTGTCATCACCAATAAAAACTGGGCTAATAATAGCCTCCCCTCTTTAGGTTGCTATAAAGCTTAAATTAAGTGATGCACGTAAAGTGCAGGGCGCGTGGCAGCACTTTATTAAAGGAAGGGGGTGTTATTGTGGTTCATTGTCATTAGTAGTAGCGTCAGAATCGGTATCATCGTCAGTGGTGACACTGAGTTTCAGGGGAAGGGACCCTTGAACAAGACCCTGCGGTTAAAGTAACGGACTCGCGCTCTGGCCGCACTCTTTCCACAGGACAGATGGACTCCAGCTCAGCCACCCCAAGGGCTCTTGCTGTTTATTTGGGCAGCTCTGACCTTTCCAGCAAATGTGACCTGTGCCCTGCGGGGTGCAGAGATTTAGCCGTCTTATGTTTGCTCTCCTAGGGGGGCTGCACCCTCTCTCGGCTCTCAGCAAACAGCCGGCAAACACTGCCACTCCATTGGTGGCATACTTTATTCATACTTGTTGACATTTCCCATGGGGAATTGTTGAAGGGAGAGGAGGGGAGGGCCGAGCGGGGAGCCATGGCTTGGTTCTCCTCCATCCAGTGGAGGAAGTGACGGGGCGGGGACACACTGAATCGAGTGAACAAGGGAACCTTCACGATGTGGGCTGAGAGGCGTCGTGCAGTGACTTTGGACGCCCTGAGTCCTCGGTCAGGAAATGCAGTTTCAAAGTGGAAAAGTAAAAAAGATCAGAAGAAAAGAACAAAGATCAGAAGAAAAGAACAAAGTGCATACAAAGCGAACTGCTAACATAGGGGAGGTTCTAAGGCAGCGGCAGTGAGAAGCCAGGTGTCTGGGGTGGCCATCGGGCCACTCCCCTATCCCACTGCCCCGTGCCAGGCCAGGCTGTCGGGCCACCAGTGCCCTCTTGAGACAGTCTCTGTTGGCTCCGAAGGTGCTGTAAGCCATAGAAGGTTGTGGAGGGAGAAGAGCCTGAAGGGTGGCAGCACCAGGGCAGCCCAAGGCAGGGCTGCAGGGAGAGTATCAAAGCATCTCTTTGCAGGTGGCTCTGGAGGGCTGCTGGCACAGGGAGGGGGAAGGGGCCCCTGGGAGGGGTACGAATCAGCACCTTTCCTTGGGCACAGGGCAGAGCCACTCTCCAGATTCTTCAATTACCAGGTGGAGATGAGAAGGCCGGTTAACAGAGCTGAAGGCTGCCAGGCCCATCCGGGTCCTTCCCTGGTGAGCAGGGCCCGGTGTGCAGAAGGCGATGGAGAGGCGGGGCCTGTGGGAGGCGGGGCCTGTGGGAGGCGGGGCCAGCTCAGCAGCCCAGCCAGTCGGTTTTGATGCTTCCGAACTTCACGCTCTTCAGACTTTGGTTCTCCAACTTCAGGTAGTAGGCACCTTTGAAGAAGTAGCTGTGACCTGGGACGAGAAAGAGGAGAGGCTCTGACCACCTCAACCTCAGACATCACGGCACAAAGTTCCTGGGAGCAAGGAGATTCCACCTGCCGTGGGGCAGAAGAGTTAAGCCAGAGGCTGGAGGAAGGGAAATGGCTGTGGAAGTAAGCTCTCTAGGTGCCTGCTTCTTCATCTTTAAGATGCGGATAAAGAGACCAACCTCTTAGGGCTGTGGTCAGGATTAAATTAGATAATATATACTATTAATAATATAAATAAACAGTACTCTGCTGAGCACAAGCACCTTCCACATACTGGAGGTGGCAAACCAGGAGGCTGCTAGTCCTATCAGGCCCATAGACGGGTTTTACTTGGCTCATACAAGTTTTTTGTTTTGTTTTGCTTTGAATTCTAAGTTGCCAACATGTCGACATCTAGAAATTTCAGATAAAAATACAGATTTCTTACCTCTTTTTAAAACAGCTAGAATATCTAATAACACTGGACTGTTCTTGCAGGGCAGCAGTCATCAGAAGCAGAGAAGCAAGTATCCCCTGAAAATGAGCCATGTGTTCTCTGGCTCACCACAGACCCCACTATTCCCTATTGTCTTCCTTGCCTGCTTCACTCATTTGTGCTACCAGCCTGGCCCCTATGGGCTTTGCAATTTGTGATTCCTGACAACCATGAGCTCATTTACTTCCTTTAAAACCCAGGTACCTAGTAGGTGCTCAATAGATGTTTATTCCTGCGGATAATCCTTAACCTAGCACCTGATTGTAAACTGCTTTTTCTTGGACATGTAAGACCTTCAGCCACTGGAAGTCGGGGCCTTGTGTTTAGCATATGACAGGGGCTCAAAAAAGTCTTTGTGGAATTTCATTGACATTTCCTCTAAAAAGCCAAACTGGACTCATTTCCAGGGGCCTAGAGAGCTCACAGAAGCCTCCTCAAGAATATGGCTTTCCAACTCCAAATTCTATCCCTGAGGATCCTGGTTGTGTTTTCTTCAGCAAGGGCAGAAGGAGTTGAGTGGGGCATCTTTGCCATGTCAGCGATGGGGCATGACAGAGTCGGTCCTGTCTCAGATGGGGCCAGCCCTCTGCTCCTGGGAGGCAGTCACAAGGCCTCCTGTGGAACCCAAAAGGGCCTGGAGCAAACCCCAGAATGAATCCAAGGCACAGAGCCCAGGCTCCTGGCCCCGGGCAGGCCTCCCGCCCTCCCCCTTCTGGCTCCAGGCCCTGCAGCTGTGAGGGGCCTTTCTGGGTCTTACTGCCTGAAGCCGGCTGAGTGAGCAGAGGTCAGGGGTCTGGACGCCTTCCCAGCCCCGGGCTGAAGGGGCTGGTTTGTTTTCCGCGGGGCCGCCTGCCTCCCTGCACAAAGAGGGAGTGTGTGCTTGCGAGAAGCAGGGCCCTGGGCTGGGGGCGGGAGTCCTAGAAAGCGGACAGAGCCCTGGGCAGCTCACCACCACCCTGCAGGTCCACCACGGCGTCCAGATTATCGGGGATGGCGTTCCAGGCGTCCGCGATGAGCTTGGGGAAGCCGGGATCCATCTTCTTCTTCACCTCATTGTATCTACAAGGAAACGGACGTGGTAAACTGGCACGCCTCCCTAACGGCCAGCCCTCCCAGCCGGGATGGGAGGGCCCGGCTGATGGCTCCTGGGTGGGCCTGGGCAACCAGACTCAGCCCTTCAGGGAGGCAGCCGGCTGGAGGGCAGGGGCAGGGATCAGACCTGGCTCGGAATCCCAACTGCACTACTCACTAGTTATGTGACCTTCGAGTCTCATAAAAGCTTGCAATTACTGCTAACGGTCAAGCAGTGTGTCAACCACTTTCCACAAGCGTCCTTTCTCATTCAACTCTTACGACAATCGTATGACACAGTTATTACCATAATACCCACTCAACAGACCAGAGGCTTAAAGAGGGCACCCAGCTCCTCAGTGGCAGCCAACCAGGCCTGCCTGGCTCCAGGGCTGCAAGGATTCTCTGAGCCTCAATTTTACCAGCTGCAAGATGGGGTTGTGTTTAATTTAATGGTTTAATTAATGTACATATGAAATAAAATAACATACGCAAAGTGCCCACCCCCGTATCTGGTACTTGGTAGGCGTTTGGGAAATATTACTTCCCTTACAAACTCTGATCCACACTGCAGAATGAGGAGCACTGGACCGGGAGCCCAGGGACGGGGTCCCACCCATCATTCTCTCACTGGGGGGCTTGGACAAATTGCTGCTGTTTCATCCATCAAGTGGAGATGACAGTCCACATCCTGGGAGATGATCTTGGCTGGGACAGCGAGGTTACAGTGCAAGGTGGCGCATGAGTCCAAGTCCTGCTAGTCACCGGATGGACCTCCTGCCACCTCAGTGCCAGCTGCAGCTCTCAGGGTGCATAGTGATCCTCGGTCCTGCCTTTAACTTGGCAGGACATGGATAGTCCGACTTAATACTTTGAGTATTAGTTGGCATATTCTTCTTCCTTGCTGCCAATACCTCGGTCTTTTTAATTTGAGGGAGAACTTTTTGTGTGTGTGTGAAGATCGGCCCTGAGCTAACATCTGTGCCAGTCTTCCTCTACTTTGTATGTGGGATGCCACCACAGCACGGCTTGATGAGCGGTGTGTAGGGCTGCGCCTGGGATCTGAATCTGTGAATCCTGGGCTGCCAAAGCGGAGCACACAAACTTAACCACTATGCCACCAGGCTGGCCCCTGGGGACACCTTTTTAAATGCTGGGGTCATTTTGATTCCTTCGCTTCTTCACTTACACTCAACCTATTCATTATTCTATAAATATTTAATGAGCTCCCACTATGTACCTGTGGATATTGCAGTAAACAACGTAAGGTCTTGCCTTCGTGGTACTAATTTTCCAGACAGGTCTGTGTTTGAGTGCCATCCTGGCGACAGCCAAAGTCCCTCTGCAGTGCCTCACAGTGGCTTTTCTTCCTCCTGGCCAGTCCGACCACCTCCACCCTAGACGTCCACAGCTTTTCCTAGGAGCTCCCTCCTACAGGGGTCGTCTCTGTCTTCCCATCACCCTGAGAACTGCATGGAAGCTTCCTTAATCCCAGCTCCATCCCAGGACTTCTTCTTGCAGAACCTAATGTGCTTCCTCATGACCTGGGGTCCCAAAAGCAAGTTTCAGCTCAAAATCCCAGTGCTCCATCCACCTCACCTCCACGGACCACTCACACCTCATCCTCTGCAGTAAGGATGGCTCGGGGCTACGTGTCCTTGAACTCGCCCCCGTTTCTGTTTCACTCTACCCACAGAAGGTAGGGAGGCTGGGAATCAACCTCATTTGATAGATGAGGAAACTGAGGCTCAGAGAAGTGAACCAATTTGCTTCCGAGTTCTTCTCCTCCAGGAAGAACACAGCATCAGGGCATCAGAAGATGTTGCCTCTGAAGGGGACCACGTCTCTTCATTTTCCTGTGGGCAGAGTCTCCTCCTATAGTGTTTCCCGCTCCCTGGTACACTGTTTTGAAAGCTTTCTCTGTGACTCTGTCCTCTGTGACTGTAGAAATTGCAGTGTACAGCAGGTGTTAAGAACACAGACATGGGGCTGGCCTGGTGACACAGTGGTTAAGTTCGCACATTCTGCTTTAGCAGCCTGGGGTTCACTGGTTCAGATCCCGGGTGCAGACCTATGCACCGCTTATCATAAGGGTCATGCTGTGGCAGGCATCCCACATATAAAGTGGAGAAGGATGGGCATAGATGTTAGCTCAGGGCCAATCTTACTCAGCAAAAAGAGGAGGATTGGCAGTGGATGTTAGCTCAGGGCTAATCTTTCTCAAAAAAAGGGAAAAAAAGAACAGACATTTGTGTCCCGGCTTTTCCATGGGTGTGTCCCTGAGGCACTTCAGCCTCAGTTTCACACCCGGAAAATGGGGCCAATAATACTATGTACCTTAAGTGAGAAACACAGGTGAGAGGCACAGCCTCAGCCCCGGTAGGTGGTACAGGGCCCCTCAGGAGAGCCATTAGTATTTTATTCAAATATGCGTCTATGCTTTCCCTGCCTCTACCGTTAGCTGCTCGAGGCAAGAGTGACTATTTCTTGACCACTGCCTCCAGCACCTAGCTAAGTGCCTGGCACATAGGAGATGTTGAATATATATCTGAGGGCTTAGTGGAAGCTTCCAGAAGCAAGGGCTGAGCACTCCCTGGTGCAAACTAGGGAATGCCCAGGCTGGAGGCAGCTGCTCGTCCTCCATCACTCTGGGGCTCTTTCTCCTCCAGCAAGGAGGCCTATGGAACCTCTGCAGACTCTACATCAGGACCAGCACCTCAAGCTCATTAGCTGCCTCTCTTGGGAGAGAGATCTGTCACCTTTGAAAACCCAGCCCAGAGCCTCTGACTGGGCCTTCAGCTCTGCCACTTTTTTTTTTTTGGTGAGGAAGAGTGGCCCTGAGCTAACATCTGTTGCGTGTCTTCCTCTTTTTGCTTGAGGAAGACTGTGCCTGAGCTAACACCTGTGCCCGTCTTCCTCTATTTTGTATGTGGGATGCTGCCACAGCTTGGCTTGATGAGTGGTGTGTAAGTCTGTGTCCCGGATCCGAACACCTGAACCCCACGCCACCGGAGCAGAACGTGCAAACTTAACCACTACGCCACCAGGCCGGTCCCTCGGCTCTGCATCTTTTAAGGAAGTGTCACGGAGCCTCCTCTGTAAAGCAATCTGTCCATCCTGGACCCTGGCTTTGGGAGGTAGGACTGTTGCAGAAAATGACTGGGAGGCAGATAACTCTGCCCAAAACCCAGCAAGACACTGCCACAGCCTCTGTGCGTGTGTGTGTGCACATGCACACACACTCACGTTCACACAGGGACACATCTGTTCCTGTGTGTTTACATACACAGGGTGCATTGGAGGGTGATTATGAAAGTCCTGTCTACACCATGATTCTAAGACACTAGGGTTCTTTGATTCTAAGATCCCGTTTTCTGACAATCTGTGCCTCTCACTGTGCACGATTCTAAGATTTGGAGATTCCAGTGCCTGCCATGCTGAGATGCCTTTTGCAGTACATGCGTGTGCCTGGAATGTTCTGGAGTGTGTGGGCGGAAAGCCTGCTCCATGGTTTCCTGGCTGACTGTTTTCTTTCTGGAGGCTTGAGACGTCGATCAGCTTAAGTTGCTAAGTATCTTAGCAATATGTCTGGAATTCCACCCAGACACAGGCAGCCTGGGACAGAGCTTCTGAATGCAGGGAGGCCGGGGATGGGGGGAGGGGAGGAGAGAGGGGCCGTGGGAGGGAGCAGGCTTGTTTCAGGGATGGCAGACAAAGGGCCAGATGCAGGGGCAGCGCAGGAAGACCATGGGGCACTAGGAGGGAGCGTGGCGAAGACACCCAACTACCCCTCCCCACTGACAAGTGACCCTTGTGGGTACAGTGGAGGGGCACAGGGTCAGAGGACAGGAGAAGCAGTTATAATCCTGGCTCTGAAACCAACACGCTTACATATAAATAACAAGCTATTTAATTTCTTTGGCCCTCAGTTTCCTCAATTGGGAAGTGTGAAGCATTATAATCAAACTCTCGAGGTCTGGGCTGCCGCTTGCTGACCTGGATACTGGGCTCCCCGGCCCTCAGCACTGACCATGGTGCCCCAGAATTCAGCCCTTTTTAGACGATCTGGAGCAGAGAGCTACGTGTTTCCAAACTGGCCCCTGCCAGCCTGTGCCCACAGCCACTGGACCTATTGCAGACGTGCCAGAGTGCCTGCTGCTGCCAATGGGGCCTGATGCAGATGCTGGCTCCTGTGGGCAGCTGGTGCACCCATCTCTCGGTCTTCATCATATGTCGCCCTCTGCCACCCCTGCCTCCACCTCCATCTCTTGGGACCCCACTATCTCAGGTACAGTGTAGAGTATGAAGAATAGCATGTTCTCTGGGAGCCAGAATTCCAGGGTTCAAATCCCAACCTGCTGTGACCTGGCTGTGCGACTTTAAGCCAGATGCTTCACCTCTCTGAATCCAAGTTTCCTCATCTGTAAAATGGGAATAGTAATAATACCCAGCTCATAAAGCCTGTGGAATAGTGTCTGACACATAGTGTCAGTAACAGCAGCCATTATCTTTATTTTTATTACTCTTTCTTCAGTGAGTCACCCCAGAATGTGAGGCTCCAGACCAGACAAATATGGGCCCAATCAAGACTTCTGAGAAGGGAAAGGAGGTTCCAACCAGAATTATTCAGCAGTGTACACAAGGATGGTTCATTCTTTGGTGGCTTTTCAAGGGGACTGCAGCCCTGGCAGGTTAGACACCAGAGAGGGGGCATCCAAGGCCCACCGAATTCTGACCTTGACCCAGGAGGCAAGAAGCCACAGAGTGTCTTCACTATGTCCCTGGGGCGAGCTGTGCTGCCCTCGTTCCCACCTCCCTCCCTTACCTCCAGAATTTGTCTCCAGCAAAGATGTATGTCTTCTTGTTCTTGCTCCAGTTAAAGGCAGCATCCACTCGTTGCACATCGGGGGGAAGCCCCAGGCTGGTCAGCGGCTTGGGGTACCCTCGCTCCAGGGTGCTGGCTGAGTAGACCCAATACTCATTCCCTGCAGCGGAAGCAAAGGTCGTGTGGGTGACCGGTGTGGAAATCCCCCGGGCCAGCCTGTCCCTCCCATCATCCGTCTGCTGGCAGCCCCCCTGTGGCCATTCTCAACAGGCACTCAGCAGGGAGTCCCTGCTCCCTTCTGGATTTGGTGCCCAGAACTGGGACTCACACACACTGTTTTACAATTGGTTATGGAAGGGGCCTGGCCAAGGAGGTGAGTGGGGGACAAATCCAGCCCTTGCTCTACTCAACAAGCCTTGTAGGCTAAGTGTCACGCATGCGATGAAGCAGCATCTTTTTCTAATCTGCACAAATGTGACCTGTGGGCCAGTAGCTGCCGTGGCCACAGCTCATAATTACTCTGGGATGGAGCAGATGAGGAGCCGGCTGGTGGAACATGTACCCAGTCTTGGCCGAGCCTTCAGCTTCTCTAGGACGCTGCCCCTGTGCCCCCACCTCAGACCATGGCAGGGACCTGAGGGTCCTCCCTCCCCATCACAGCCCTCACTGCTCTCCCTCCTAACAGCCTGCTTGTCTTCCATGGCCTCCTCTACCCTGCCCCCGCTGTGAACTCCAAGGGAGCAGGGCCGTGGATCCCTGGTACATGGGGGTGCCCAGATAACTGGTGAATGAGCAGGGCTTCCCAAGCGTGAGCCATAAGACCCGACCTTGGTGATTTTTACCACTTATAGAAACTTCTTGTACTATTATTTACTTAATATTTTGCTGTCAAGGAATTCATTTTGAAAGCTATAGAGATAAATTTATTTTAAACATTAAAAATGAAAACAAACAGGTTTTTAAAAAATTCTAACTAAAAGCATTGACTACCAAAGGCTCTAGCATTAGAAAGATTTTAGAGACACCAGCACTAAGCTGTAACTTTCCTTATAGAAAAGGAAATGGCACCTTCACTCTGTGGGTCAATGCTATCTGATGCTGAGTGTCTGAATCAATCTCCCAGACGAATCCCACGCTTTCGGAAATGATGGTTTCAAGAATGGACCCATAAAGGAGAAAGGGCACCTACAGGTGTACAGAAATCATGGTGCAGAGCCCCGTGGAGCCTGGGGCCAGGCAGGACCCGTTCCCACACACCTGCAAAGAACACAGCCTTCTCCTCCTGTGGGGCCTCGTACACAGCATCGATCTTTTCCGGGAGCTCAGGCCAGAATGTGGCCACCAGCAGGGGCCCTGTGGGCTTGTCACGTGGCGTCACTGTCCGCCAAATGAACCTGGGGGTGGAAGGGGACACAGGAAACCGCACCTTCAGTCACTCTGCAGCTGTAACCACACATGCCTTTCTAAGCCCTGGAAGCAAGATCAAAGGAAGGTTGGAGAAGGACTGCAGAATGGGCAGCGCCGTCTCTGCAAGATGCTGGGGCTGAGAAGCAACCTCTTGCTCCCTCCTCCAGGAAGACTTCCCGAACTCCCTCTGTCCATACTGTGTTCTCCCTCCTCTGAGCCTGTCAAAAATCATCAGCCCTGAGCAGCTGGAAGAGCTTGCTTGCTTGTTTTGGCACCTGAGCTAACAACTGTTGCCAATCTTCTTCTTTTTTTTTTCTGCTTTTTCTCCCCAAATCGCCCCCGTACATAGTTGTATATTTTAGTTGTGGGTCCTTCTAGTAGTGGCATGTGGGACACCGCCTCAGCATGGCCTGATGAGCAGTGCCATGTCTGCGCCGAGGATCCGAACCGGCGAAACCCTGGGCCATGAAGCGGAGCGCGCCAACGTAACCACTCGGCCATGGAGCTAGCCCCTGATTGTTTTTTAAATGTCTTATCTCTCTGACTAGATTAGAAGCCAACTGAGGCACGGGCTGATGGCACTCAAAAGCATTCCCTGAATTGAAATGGAATGGATCTGTGCACTTTGGCAAGAGTAAGAGCTGTCATTTATTGAGGGCCTACTAAGTGTCTAGCACTTCATGTGCCTTGTAAAATGTAATCCTCACAGTATTATAACATGCACTCTTGGCGGTCCACCCAGCATCTATTACCTATCTATTTCCCTATCATCCTTCCTCCCAGAACGCTCACATTTATGATCCTTGCTTCCCCACTGGTGGACCCAATCCCCATTCTGATTAGCTTAAGCCCCTGGGTCTCAAAGTTTAGGGTCCCAAGACCAGCAGCACCAGCATCGCCTAGGAACTCAGAAATGCAAATGATTGGGCCCCACTTGAGATCTATGGACCAGACTCTCTGGGCTTGGGGCCCAGCACTCTGTTTTTACAAGCCTTCCAGATGATGCCAATGTGTGCCAAAGTTTGAGAACTGCTGGTGTAAGCCTGTCAGAGCTGGCAACTGTTACTCATTCGGCAGCTGCCGACTGTGACTTCTGTTGACACAATAACATTGAACAGATAGACTTGCACTTCACATCTGGAGATCTCTCTCTCTCTCTCCTGCTGGATGTGGGCAAGGAAGCCTGTAGACCCACTTGCCACTGGCAGCCACTGTGTGACCATGAGGGACCCAGTCTTAGAACAAAGTCAATGCAGAGGATGGCAGTGGACAAAGATATCAATGAGTCACTGACCCTCTTTCTGACCCTGGAGGCAGGCTTCATACCACGTGAAAGCAATTTCTCTCCGTTGTTTATGCTGGTTTGAGCTGGGGTTCTCTGTTACTTGCAGCAAAACATCCTGATACAGGAAGGTATCAAGATCCTTATTCGGCAAATGAAGCTCAGAGAGTTATGGTATTACCAGGATTTGAATCCAGATTTGACTCCACAGTCTGAGATTAGGCGTCTTGCTGTATTGCCTTTCTCATCCCCCCAAGTGCCTGGCACCAAGTTTTGCACATGGATGGTACTTAAACATTTACTGATGGATTCAATGAGCCCATTAAACACTCATCAACTTCCTTTAGAAAGTGAGATGTGTCAGGCCAGGGAGGGCTCCAACCTGGGCCCACGCACTGCACCCTTTCCTGGGTCTACACTTCTCACACGGGCAAGTGTGGTCAGGGCGTCCTTAGTGGGAAGTGCCCCAGGCTAAGGACGGTGGCAGGGAAGGGGGCCCCCTGACTCACCTCTCCCCCATCCCTGTAACGAGGGCTGCAGGACAGCATCGGAACCTACAGTTACACAGCCTGGTTTGCGCGTTCGAGGCCTGATGGTATCTGACTTGTCATTGCATTTTGAGTCTCATCTCTCTCTGCATTCTTGCCATCTCCCTGCTGGCATCTGTCCCCCAGCCCCTAGCCCAGTGCCTACAGCAGAGGAGGCTCTTCACATAAGTTTGAGGGATGTCTTCCAGCCTCAACAGGCTCTCTGTTCCTCCCAGTGTAAGCCAAGAACTTTCACATCTCTATGGCTTTGCTTTTGCAGTTCCCTGTCACAAACACCCTCACAACCTGGCAGCCCCGCCGCTGTCCATCTGAATCTGCTTCTTTAAAGGGCCTGCTCGAGCTGGCCCAGTGGTGCAGCGGTTAAGTTCGCACGTTCTGTTTCGGTGGCCTGGGGTTCGCCAATTTGGATCCCGGGTGTGGACACGGTACCGCTTGGCAAGCCACTCTGTGGCAGATGTCCCACATATAAAAAAGTAGAGGAAGATGGGCACAGATGTTAGCTCAAGGCCAGTCTTCCCCAGCAAAAAGAGGAGGACTGACAGCAGATGTTAGCTCAGGGCTAATCTTCCACAAAAAAAAAAAAAAACATAAATAAATAAAGGGCCTGCTCAAGTGCTGCTTTATCTGTGGAGCCTTCCTTGACTCGGATGTGCCAAAAAAGCATTTTGCTAGTGCGTCTGCAATCACATTTCTTTCATTCTGTCACGCACACTGTCAGTTCTCTATGCCTCTGTTTCCCAAGCAGGATGGGGATGCTCAAACATTAACATGAATCAGGATTATTGGGGGAATTTTCTAAAATGCAGATTTCTGGGGCCTACTCCCAGACATTCCAGTCACAGGGCCACATATTTACCACTCACACTCTAGGTGGTCCTGGGGCAGGAGGTCCAGGGACCGCTCTTTGAGAACACTGATCCAGGCATTAAGCAGCCCCTCTGTTCCCAGCACTCCATCCCCACTCCCAGCCCCTAAAGCCTGGCAAAACAGTACAGGCCAAGTAATGATTTGTTGATAATAACAGCCAATAGGCTTGAACACACTTACCTTGTGTCAGGCCTTGTTCTAAGCACTGAGCTCATCTAATCCTTACAACAGCCCCATGAGATGGTTGGAATATTAGTCCCATTTTATAGATGAAGAAATTGAGGTAGAAAGAAGGTACATAATTGGCTTTCTTATGATGATGCAACCAATAAGTAGCAGGTCAAAGATTCTAACCCAGGCAATCTGGCTTCAGAGTTCACCCTGTCAACTACCATAGTCTATGAATGGATGGATAGACAGATGGATGGACGGACGGATGGATAGATGGATGGATGGACGAATGATAAATGAATGATGATGGATTGATAATGGAGAATGGATGATGGATGATGGATGGATAGATAATGGATGGATAGATAGAGGATAGACAGATGGATGTGTATAAGCATGTATGTACGTATGTATGTATGATGGATGGACCCTTTAATGCAGTCCTGGGTACTGTCTGCCATTCTCCAGGAGGGTTAAGGCAGTTGGGTGAGTCTCAGACCTTGATGGATTGAGTGGGGGCCTTTATAGCATGAAGGATACCACCTCTCTCTATCCTATGGTTACTTGCTCCCCCTACATAGAACAATTTGGCCATTTGAGGTCAAGACCATTCCAGGAGAAGCCCTGCGGTAGCCCGGATAATGTTCCCAATTCTTCCCTCCATCCCTATTTTAGAATCATACATCCATGGGCTTCCCATGTGACTTTCCATCACCACCCCCTTGAGGAGGTGTTGGGCTTGACCATGTGATTTGCTTCAGTCAAAGGAATATTCTTAGACATGATGCAAGAGGAGGCTTTAAAGGTGCTTGCGTGGTTTGATTTGGCCTCTCGTGCTTGTGTCATCTCTATAAGCAGCTGCTAATCCCAGGAGAATGAGTGACATGCAGAGCATACTTGAACCCAAACTACAGTCCAAAGCCAAGACATCTGGAAGACCCTCAGCTTAGGAGAGAGCAAAAGAAATGCCCTTTGTGGTCAGCACTGAGAACTGGAGGCTGCCTGATAAGCAGGAAAAACGGTCTCCTTCAGGCCATTCTGTGAAGCCCCCAGTGGGGTCCTGTAGCAAGGGGTGGGGGCACAAGAATAACAGGGAAGTAGCAGAGGGCACAGGGCAAGAAGCAGGCTGCCATACTCACCGGTCCTTGAAGAAGAAGATCTCCCCCCGGATCTGAGAGATGCCGTCAAAGACAATGTCCTGCTTGCAGATCTCAGGAGTGACAGGTCCCAGCGTGGGGGTGGGGCCGGTGCCAGTGTCAGGGGAGCCCCCTGGGGGAGGACACCGGACTTCAGACTCTCCCCAGCTGCAGGGGTTCTCCCCACCATGCTGAGCCCCCAAGGCGGCCCACCCAACTGGCTAAGGGTCAGGAGAAACAGTGTTCTGGCCTTAGTGCAAGCCCAGGTAAGATGGGGAGACGGTGCCCGGACACGGCGAGAGGAGAAGGAAGAGAAGCCAGAGTCCCATGGCACTTTTATAAATGCTCTTCGCCAACATCGGCCGCATCAGTCCTCTCTATATCCCTGGGAGGCAGGCATCATTATTTACTCCCATTTTCCAGATGAGGAAACTGAGGCCCAGAAAGGTTGAGTGATTTAATGTTCAAACCCAAAGCTCAGGTTCTCAGGGCAGTCAGAAGGCCACCCAAGTGTCGAGCACTGGGGATGTGGCACTTTCTCAAGGACTCCTTCCTTTACTCTCAAGACAACCAGCCACAGGTTAGAGATAAAGAAACTGACTCCAGCGAGGTAAAGGCTTCCTCAGTCTCTTGCAGCCGGTGAGTGGTGGAGGCAGCCCTGACACCTGGGGCCTCTCACTCGGTTTCAGGTCCTTTCCCAAGTCCAATGTCCCCAAGCCTTGTCACTCAAGCACCACTGTCACTATTTTGGTTTGGTCCAGGTACCATCTGTACCATTATATATTTACTTTTTAAAGAAACATGGACTTACTCTAGGCTCACTGGAAGCATTAATAAATAAATCATTGGTTTCAACTTGTATTATTCCTATTACACATTAAAATAAAAGAATCATTATGAAAACCAGAAATTTTCACCCCTGTATCATTAAGGTCACTCCATACCCCGGGAAACTCTACCCTTTATTTAGCTAATTCTCCTGGATTCCAAGCCTAACTTGGGTATTAAACTGAGTGACCTTGGGCCAGAAGGGTTACCTTTCCCAGGCCTCAGTTTACTTGCTCAGAAAATGGAGAGTCGATTTCTGCCCCACCTGCTTCACAGCATGGCTCTCGGGAGCCAAGAGGGGCACGCATACTGGTGTTATTTGGAAAAGAAACGTACTGTCCAAGGGTTCCCTTGGAGTGTTGCTTTGTCACCCCTGGACCAGGTCAATTTTCCTGCCTCCTGCCCTTGTCTCCTGCAACCCTGGAGAGATAGGACCTTGCTGGTTCTGCGCCCTGGGCCTATATCCCAGGCTGCCTGACTTCCTCAGACCCCAGCCCAGCAGCCCCCAAGCAGAGGCTTACCGTAGAGCTCTTGAATGCCCTTGATGTCATCATGGGACAGGCGGAAGTGCTTGGTGTACGTGTAAATGGGCGCCATCAGGGCTCCAGGGTCCTGTGAGTGCTCCAGCCCCATCGCATGGCCAAACTCGTGGGCTGCCACCAAGAACAGGCTGTACCCTGAGGGCCACAGGAAGGGGAGGGGGCAGAACGAGAGGGGGAGGGGAGGGAGACAGGAGAGGAGTCAGGACCCAGCCCCAGTGAAGGAGTCTTCTGAGGGCATCCGCATGGTGGGGCAGACAGCCCTGGAAGTGGCATGTACTGATTTTTCCTTCTCCTGAGAATTCTGGAATGAATAGACTATGCCTATTGCTTTCAAGTAGGTTCAGCCAAAGTCCCCTTGGCCTTTTCAGGGTGGCTCCATGTGTGCCACCGAGGAGAAAAAGCAGCACCTGCAAATCCCCTCCTCGAAGTCCCATTTATTAAAAATCATGTTTCCTGGCTTTTTCTGTTTCTCTATAAAGATTGGAGTGAAGGCTGCTCAACAGGGTCACCAAGGAGGTAAGAGAGAGAGGACAGGCTGGCCCCACGGGCCCACCATTCCTGCCCCAGGGAAGCAGTAAAAACTATTCCCAAGTGGAGTGGTTGGCCAGGCTCAGCCACAGACAGCGGGTAAACTCTGTGTCACACGCTGTTGGGGTTGAGTTGTGCCCCTTAAAAGATATGTTCAAGTCCTGACCCCGAGCATCTGGGAATGTGACCTTATTTGGAAGCAGGGTCTCTGCAGGTGTAATTAAGGTGTAAGTTAAAATGAGGTCATACTGGAGTAGTGGGCCCTTGATGCAATGTGACTGTGTCCTTATAAAAGACAGGATACGGAGGGACAAACAGAGAAGGCCACGGGATGATAAAGGCAGAGAGTGGAGCAATGCAGCCTTCAGGGGGAACCAGCAAGGAGGTCCTACAGACACCGTGGCGTCAGACTTCTAGCCTCCAGAAACAATAAACGTCTGTTGTTCAAGCCACCCAGTTTGTGGCCCTTTGTTTGGGCAGAGCTCAGAGAATATCCATCCAGGCGCTCCACGTCAGCTCTGGGCCTTAAACCATCCAGGCAGAGGACGAATCCCACTGAATCTACCTGAAGGTAGAAGCTGGAGCAGAGAAGGTCAAGTCAGGGTATGTCCTAGCATAGATAGGAAAAACTCCTGTGGCCAGGCTCTGTCAGCCAGCATTCTCCAAAGTCCATCTCATTATGAGTACAAAAGAAGAAAAGTAACAGAGAGAGAGGTTGACCTAATTCTGGCCAGCCCTGGAACAGCCCTGTCATCTGGCCATCTTGGGCTATCCGTGGGCCCAATGACCCTGGGCCCTGCAGCCTGGAGTCAGCACAGCACCCCGGGCACCCTGCTCACCACACTGACCACACATGAGGGCATGGCCTGTCTCCTGGTCACTCTCTGGCCCCAGCCCAGGCGTCCTGGGGGCAGAGAGCTGCCCCAGCCGGCAGTGTCCTCAGCATGGAGCCCTGGTGAGAACTCCCACCCACAGCCTGGCAAAGGGTGGTGCCAATGGGGCAGGGGGGCTCTGAAGGGTCTTCCGTGCTGCGTGGAGGAGGCTTGGAGCAAGGAGGCGGCGATTCCTGCTTTCCTCTCTTCTCCCACCCACCCAGCACCTGGAAGGCAGCTCTCCATTGGAAGGGGCGCGCCCTTAGGAGAATCACGTCTCTGGGGCAGGGTACTCCGTGCCCAGCACTGAGACACTCTGGGTAGTACAGCCCCACCCAGACAGCTGGTTCCCATCCAGGAAGCAGGTACCAGAGTGGAGGGGGTCTTATTTGGAGGCCACGTCTCTGCCTGAATGGACAGGGCCTAAACAGGAACCCGCCTCCCCCATGAATGGCCAGCATCTCTGCCGGGTGGTGGGTCCCGAGAGGGCAGTGTCCCTGCCATGGAGAGGCAGCATCTCTCCCAGGGTAAGTGAGTGTCTGGGGGGCGGTGTCTACGCCTGAGGTGGGCGAGGATTCAGGAAGGTTTCCAGCCCAGACGTGTACATGGGGAGGGTGGCCAGTGTCTCTGCTCACGGGCCAGGGCCTCGTACCCTGGTCAGGGCAGAAGCCCCACTTTCGGTCGTCATCGTAGTTGGCTGTAGTCGCGCACCACATCTTCCCGTCGCTGCGGCCGGCGCTGGTGCAGCCCTCATGCTTGTTGCCCAGGAAGGTGAAGGGGAAGACACAGGGGGCACCTTCCGAGTTCCCGCCAACGGTGGACATGGCTGTGGGAGTAGAGACATGGGTCACGGGGCGGCAAGGCCACCACCAGGGAACGATGAGGACATTAACAAACCACGCTTGCTGAGTATTCCCCCAGTCCTGGGAGCTGGATCCAGTGCTTTATACACATCTCAGCCCCCACAATGACCCTGTGCAGTAGGGACCCTGTCACCCCATTTCGTGGGGATGGGGAAACTGGAGTTCGGAGAGATGACGAAACTTGTCTCAGCGAATACTGGTAGGAGGTGTCAGGGCTGGGATTCAGACCCAGGCAGCCAGATTTCAGAGCTTTAACTCGCCTCCTGTGGATGGGACAGAGGGGTCAGGGGCAAAGGGGGCCAGGCCGAGCTGATGGTGCCAGTGCACATCCCTAGACTGGGAGCTCCATCACACAGAAAGCAGGTGCGCAGTAAATACCTCCTGGAGGGAGGAAGGGAGGAGAGTGGAAAGGAGGGAAGAAAGAGAAGGAAGGAAAGAAGGAAGAGAGGGAGGGAAGAAGGGAGGATGGAGAGAAGAAAGGAAAGGAGTCTTTATTGAAAATAGACCAGAAGATAGAGATACAAACTAGGGCAAAGAAAGGCAGGGAAGAGAGACTTCAAAGTTGGAGGGAGAGAGAAGCGATTGTCAGGGAGGCTGAGAGAGTGTGGGTCATTCAGAGGGGCCTGGGCGGGCCCGACATTAGGCATCACCAGTTTGGCTGAACAGCTGTTTGTGCCCAACGTCTGCTCCGATTTGGTGCCCGCGTTGGACCAGCTGCTAAGTGTGCTGGTTAGCACCCCTGTCCTGGGGAAAGGGGGAGGGGACGGGGCTCTGGGGGATTTTCTATCTGAGGGCAGGGTGCTGGCCCTGAGGGGCAGGGAGAGGAGGTGACACCCACCGGTCTCGGGGCAGAAGCCGTACTTCTTGTCACGGTCGTAGTCCTCGGTGGTGCCACACCAGCGGTAGCCGTCGGTGCGGCCCTCGGTGGTGCAGCTGTCGTAGGATGTGCCCTGGAAGCGGAACGGGAACTTGCAGGGCTGTCCGTCGGCGTTGCCACCCATGGTGAACAGGGCTGGGGGTGGAGAGAGAGGGGGTACGAATGTGAGAGAGACCACCCACCTGCCCACCTGGATCAGCTGGGCGCCTGCCTGCGCACAGAGCTGCAGCATTGCTCGTGTATTAAAAACCATCTATTCTGGTAGGTAAATTGCTGCTTCTCGGAGCTCCTGGAGACCCGATCCCTCCCCTGGAAACTTATGGAGCCTCCCAGCAATGAACGGTTAACACCGGGCACACAGCAGGGGGCAGCCAGAAGCCTACCCCAGCCCCAAGGCCACTTCCACCCTGCCTGGTGATGCCCACACCGCGCAGATTGCTGACTAGATCATCCACGGCGGGTAGGACCACAGGAGTCTCTCCAGTCGACAGACAGGGAAACTGCGGTTCTGAGAAAGCTGTTCCAGAACTGCTCATGGTCAAATAAATGGGAGAACGGGATGCGGGTTTCACGGAAAGCTACAAAACACGCTAGTCTCAACCTCTCTGTTGTTCTTTCTCTGTCACATACACACACACGCACGAACAGAGGAAGCTTCTCCTCCTTTCAACCCCAGGCGCCTTCCAGGATGGCCCTGCTGTGGTCCCCACAGGAGAGAGAGGAGGAGGGAGAGAGTGAGAGGCGGTGTCTTTGGGAAGCTTTTAATACCCACCCTGGGCCCCCACTCTCATCTCTCCAAGACAGGGGCCATGACCAGGGAATTCGGGGAGAGAGTGGGATTCGGAGTCTGGGCTTGACTATCCTGGATTCTGCCCCTGCTCCCCCATCCCCTCATCCACCCCAAAGCTACAAAATGGTGTGTCTCTGGAGTTGCCAACTAGCAAAACCACAAGTGCGTAACAAGGACCATCTGTGCACAACGGCGCCAGAGGTGACCTCACCAGCCCCCGTTAACTCCACCACGGCCAGAATGTAGCCCAGTCCCCAGCTCCCCATGACAGGACTCGTGGCCCTGTGTCCTCACTGGTCCCCTCCCCCTAACCAAGACACCTTCTCCTGCAATGCCAGAAACAATGGGACTAAGGGAAGACACAAAACTGAGGCCAGATGCTTTGGTGGCCTCGGAGTGGGGAAAGGCAAAGTGTTAAGCTGGACGGGGGTCAGCCTCCGCCTCTGGCCTCCAATGAGCGGTATCTCCAGCACCCAGGAAGCCCCATCTCCTCGTAGATTCTACCCCCAACAAGGATGGAGACGCAGACACTGACTCAGCAGTCAGGAGAGGCTGAGTAACCAGAACCTCTGCCCCGAGACCCAGACACGTGCATGTTGTGCGTACTTGCGTCTGGCTGAAGACCAAGTCGATGGCTAATGTCCAATACAGGGAAACCTTCCCAAACTTATGAATTACAGCTGTTTCCACTCTATTATCAAGACATTCTGTTCTCATCACAGGGGTTGACACAGAGGGTTAACGCCACCTGAATCCCTACTGGGAAATGCAAGATACGTAGATGTTTTTATTTAAAAACTTCTGACATTAATGGGCAATGGGTGGAATTCTTACTTAATACAAAGCATCACATGAGCTTTGGTACTAGATGTGTAAACAGGAACACAATTAACTCGCTATTTGTTTCTTTCCTTCTGTCAAGATGGCTGGTGCTCCACGTTCAGTTGCAATGGGTTGAGAGAGTCACAAACATGTAACATTACAGCCAAAAAGACAGACGCATATATAGATCAAGGAGTCTTTATGGGATGGGGAAGAAAGAAGTATTTGTAAAAAATTTTGGACTGTCTCCCACTGTCCCCAAATTTTCTGGGCTTTCAATCTCTAGAATCATCAAATGTGATGACTTGACAGAGTATGAAGTTATACATACTGTCTTTTTAAGATTTATGAGTATGAAGTGTGTCAAGGATACTAAAAAAGGATGGAGTGTGTATGTCAATACCCTTACTCCTTTAAATTTCTCCTTCAATATGGCTTCAAAATACCTGAAAATGTTCTCTCTCAAGCATTGACAAAAACACACACACAAATACCTAGTTAAGCCTAACACCTTTGCTAAGACACAGTTGCAGACAAAAAGGTAGACAGAGATCAAGAAAGTCAGAGGGAACAGCCCCTATGCCCAAACTTAGACACACACACACTAGCAGGGTCACCATCAGAACCAGGAGTGATGGCTGAAATTCACGGGGTCGGTGTCCCCAAGCCAGGTACCAGCCTCGGTGTTGAGTCTTGCCTCCCACTGCTTGGCTTCTGATGCATCCCCAGCCCTCTCTCCAGGCCCTTGAACCCCTAATCCTGCCAGAGGGTAGAGAGTGGTTCTAGCGAGAACCACTGGGCATTTTAACAGTTCTAAGTTCATTCTAGTGCATGTTAGAAAAAAATAATTAGCACATCAAACCTGTGACTTCACAAATGTTATTGCTAATGGTGAGACTTCGAAAAAATGGAATTGATTTAATGAAAGTATTAAGTAAATAGGTATACAGGTGAGACGGACACAGCAGTGGCTCCAGTTGGAACAGTGGGGCCTGAAGGAAGTTGGGAGGATGCTGGTTGACTGGCAGTGCCAGGCCTGAGGAGCGTGGAGAGCAGAGGGATGGCAGTCTGGGGAGGTGGAGGCTGAGGAGGAAAGCCTGGGGCCAGGTGGATGCTCACCTTCATGGGGGCAGAAGCCGTATTTGCCGTCCTTGTCGAAGTTGTAGGTGGTGGAGCACCAGAGGAAGCCGTCGCTGCGGCCCGTGTCGGTGCAGCTGGTGTACTCCTTGCCGTTGAAGAGGAAAGGGAACTTGCAGTACTCCCCGTCGGCGTTGCCATACTTCACACGGACCACTTGGAGCAACACAGGGGGAAAGGTGAACCTCTCTGGGCCTTTCTTTGATGACCAGGAGTCTGACTCACCTAGGGGTGTGGCCTCCCTCCCCCTCCCATCTCTCCGGTACCATCATAGCAAATGGAAGTGCCCAAAGTTGCCAGGGAAGCCACAGTCCTTGTTGCTAGGGGGCAGGGAGGCATGCAGAGGACGATAGAGTAGGCGTGGGGCATGCGAATGGTCCTTTCTTACCTTGCCCTTCTCCCAGGGTCCACAGCTCGTCGTCATCAAAGTGGGAGTCTCCCCCAACACCAGGGCCCGGGGCGAAGGCGTGAGCTAGGAGCCCATCCTTGCCATCAAAGGGGTACCCATCTCCGTGCTCTGAAACACACTGGGTCTCAGCTTCCAGCTGCCCCAGTGGGGCCCTAAGACCCAGCCACACCCCGATCCAAGGCTGGGGACCTTTAGCCCACCTAGCATCTGGTCCCTCCCCTGTCCTGTTGGGGTTACCCAGGACTGGGGACATAGCAAATGAGTAGAGAGTTGATGACTTGATAATTAACATCCTGTGGCCTACACTACTCCCTCAAGTCTACACGGCCCCAGTATTTCTACCACTGACCTTCACTGTCTACACTACCATGGATGACATGACACCTACCCACATACCTACACTGCCACACCAGTATCCTCACCACTCACCTTCATTGTCCTCAGCGTCTATACCATCTACCCTCACATCCACACTGCCCTTTTAGCCACATCACCTACCTTCATGTTATATTATCACCAACATCCACAACACTAACCCTTACGTCTACTTTGCCACGCAGGTCCATACCACCCACTCACATGTCTTCAACATTTCCTCTGCCATCTACTCACATCGCTACAACATTCACAATGTCTACACTACCTACCTTCATGTCTACACTACTGCCGGTGTTCATACCACCAACTCACAAGGCGCCCTTGACCCCAGCTTCTATTCCACCTACTCTCATGTCTACACTGCTCCATTGTTTCTGATCCACTCCCATATCTAGAGTTGCCCAGGGCCTACGAGCATTATCCAACAGAACTTTCTGAGAGGATGGGAATGTTCTTTGTGCTGTTCAATTCAACAGCCACTAGCCCTATGTGGCTACTGAGCACCTGAAATGTGGCTAGTGTGATGGACAAACTGAATTTTAAATTTTATTTAACTTTAACTAATTTAAATTTAAACAGCCCCATGTACCCAGCAGCTACCATGTTGGAGGGCGCAGCTAGACCACTTGGCTTCAGGCTTACACTGCTCCAGGGTATCTCATCTGCCACGTCATCTGCCACCACATCAAGGTGGCTCTCCAGTATCCGCTTCCATCTACACTACTCCAGCGTCTACATCTCCTACTCTTCTAAGCTGTCCCCAGGACCCCCGTGCCTCTCTGACAGCCAGATTGTCCCCGTCTCTACACGGACCCCCTGCTGGCCCCTCTCCTGCCTACCCCAGCGGCCGAAGTTGATCATGATGTCAGCCTCTCCATCATGGATGCGAGAAAACCGTAGTGGGGTCACATCACTCCAGACTCGGAAGGCACGAGCGAAGGCATCATCCACCGTCTCAGGGTCCAGATCAGGTGTGTAGCCGATGATCCTGGAGGTAGCAGACATGCATGTGAATGTGTATATGTGTGCAATGGAATGGGAGTATGCATATGCATGTGAGTGTGTACGCATGTGTAAGTGTGTACATGCAACTGTGTGCATGTGAGCATGCACAAATGTGTGCAAGGGTATGTGCATTAAGTGTGCAAAATCATGTGAGGAGTGCATGAGTCTGTGTAGGCACATGTGAAGTGTGCACAAGTGTGTGAATGTAAGTGTGTACACATGTGCAGGTATATGTGTGTGCACGCTGAGCAGAGCTCACTGGGAGAACAGCCCACCCAGAATGCCTTGAGGTCCCATGGAGTGGAGTCCTAGACCAGCCCACAGCTTCAGGCCGTCTCAGGTCTCATCCCTCACTCATGGCTGGGGGCGTGGGCAGGGGCATAAATAGTGCATTATGGGGCACAGGCCAGAGATCCCATCTTTGGAATCCATCATGAACTGTACAGAACAGAGCTCTTAGCCCAATTAACAACCAAAGATAACAACTCTATAATACAACATAAAAGCCACTTAGCAACCACTCATCAAGCTCCTCCGCCCGCCCCAGTGACCCCATCTGATAACAATAATGACTAGCATTTACTGCACTCTTACTATGTGTCGGACACTGTGAAAGCCCTTTATAGATGTGATCCAGCTTAGCTCCCGCCTACCTATGAGGAAGGCTTTGTTTTGGACCCATTTTGTAGATTGGAAAGCCAAGGCTCAGAGCACCGGAAAATAAGTAGCCCAGTGCCCCGCAGCTAGTAAGCGCGAGAATCGAGCCCAGGTCTGTCTGACTCCAAACTCCTTAAGGTGCCAAGCCCTCGCAAGACACCTCCTGGGGCCCCAGGAGACCCAGTGCCCAGAGCCCCCGCCTCCCCCGCCCCGCCCTGGCACCTGTATGTGATCTGGGTTTTCTCCCACTTGGGCTTGCGGGGGAAGAAGTTATAGTTGGCCACGTCGGGGTTGCCGCAGCGCGGCTTGCGCATGGTCTCGATGGTGCTCTGGTCGAGGTCACCCGTCTGGGGTAGCCCGAAGAACTTCTGCATCTTCTTCAGCGTGTCCTTCAGCACAAACAGGTTGCAGCTCTCCTTGGGGCAGCCGTAGAAGGTGTTGAGGTATTGCTGGAAGAGACGAGCACCCGAGGCAAGAACCGTGTTAAGATGGCAGAGTCCTGACCAAAGCGGGCAGGGGCCCAAGGGTACTGGGCGGAGTACCGGGTTCTCAACTGAGCGCTGTCACTCTCTAGCTGAGTGACATGAAAGCTGTAGGGGGCGTGGCTTAGGAGCACATTTTGGGTGCCTACTATATGCCCAGGCACTGAAGTGTTAACTCATCTAACACTCAAGCAACTCTATAATGTAGATATGATTACTATCTCCATCATACAGAGGAAGAGACTAAAGCACAGAGAGATTAAGAAACTTGCCTAAGATCACGCAGCTCACAAATACCAGAGCTGGATTTGGACCCAAGCAATCTGGCTCCAGAGCCCATGCTCGGAACTATAACTCTCTACCACTCGGCTTTACCTCCATCATCTCTTTTAATCCACTTAACTGCTTGAGGACACAGGGATTATTTTCCTCACTTTTCTTACAAGGAGATTCAAGGGCTATGTGCTTGGGCTCCAGCAGCAGACAGACCTGGGTTCAAATCCTGGCTCTGCCGTTTCCAAAAAGAAAATGATCCTGTCCTTCGGGGGCTGCACGGCTGGCTCTGCCCACACCGAGGCCAAGACCAAACAGGCCCCCACAGAGGGTCAGGGACCAACCAACATGCTTATTTGTTCAACAAAGGCTTTTTGACACCTGCCATGTGCCAAGCCCTGTGCTGGTGCTGGGGATAAACTGGTAAACACGACAGATGTTTCTAGTCTCTAGGGTTCAAATCCGAGTGTGGGGAGGCTGATGGACCAGAAATAAACGCTAACTGAAATACGTGATAGGTGCTGCATTGGAATGGTCAAAGCAGCCAGCAGAGCTTATTCCAGGGGCCCTAACCTTGTTTGGGGGGTAGGTAGGAGAGGGTACAACAATAATAATAATGCCTAACAGTTACTGAGAGCTTACCATTTGTCAGGGACCTTCGAAGAGTCTAAGATCCCCTCCCTTTTAACCCTGCGACAGGTCCCATTATTATCTTCAGTTTGCAGAAGAAGCTGAGACTAAATTAGGCCACCTGCCCAAGATCACCAGGCCAGCTGGTTAGTGCACTCCCTGGGTTGAAGCCGGGTTGTCTATGGTCACCAGCTGCCCACTGCACTGCCTCTGGGCAACCTGGACTTCCATAACATGCAGAACGTGTGGGGACCCAGGCAGCTTTGTCAGTGCTCCAAAGCTCCACTCTCACCCCCAACCAACAGCCACATCACGCCCGCCAGTTCCAGACCCTTGAGAAAAGCAGCTCCCTAAAAATGGAAGATCTCCCAACCCATTTATCCAGAGGAGGCAGAGGCCTGGATGCTGGAAAGTGGGGGTGTCACATCCCGAGAAGGGGTTCCCAGGGTGACCAGAGGGCCTGGGAATCCTGTCCTGGGCAGGTCGGGGACCAGTCTGAAGGAAAATGGGGCTTTCTAGGGTGGCTGAAGCAATCGGGGCAGATGCCTTGTGGGCTGGAAAGAACATCTTGGGGGTCCTGAGACAGAGCGCTTGCAGGGTGAGGATCCGTGCCCTTCCGCTGCCCCAGCCCCGCCTGTCCACCGCTGCGGCCAGGGCGCCCCTCCAGCCGCCCCTCGAGCCAGGCGCGCGTGCTCGCGCAAAACAACATCTGAGCCGCAGCTCGGAGCCCGGCCAGGAGGGAGGGCTCGCTGGCCGCGCTCGGACCTGCGCCGGCTCCGTCCGCCCCCGCCCCACGCGCCGGCCCCCGCTGCCCGCCCCTCCCTCCGCCCGCCCGCCCCCCCCCCCCCCCCCCCGCTGTGCTCCGATCCCCTCGGAGGAGCTCGAGGAAACTTTCCGAGGTCCAACCTTTGACCCTCCTGGCCAACTTGTCCATTGGGCCAGGCGGAAAATATGCGCTCTCCACTGCCCTCCTGCCCCAAATATTTGCCAAAAGCTTCCTTTGCGCGGTTTCTCCAAGGGCCCTCTCCAGATGTGCGCCAAAGGTGCCCAGAAGGTTCCAAAGGTTTGCCCAACCCCGCTTTGCCCAGAGCTCCCGTCCTCACGTGTGCAAAAGTTCACTGTGTGTGTGCCAAAGGACCCTCTTCCCAAAGTCCCACAGGAGTTTAAAAAGATCCTCCTCTATTTGCAAGAGACCCCTCTAGGCCTTTTGCCAAAGACGTACCAAGACGCTTGCCAGGGGCCTTGTTAGCCAACCCCCAGATGTGTCCAAAAATTGTTTACAAAGGCGCCCCCCTTGCCCAATCCCCCAGGTACTAGACAATGTCCCCGTTATTTACGAGAGGGGTCCTTTCCAGATGTTTGCCAAAGCGCCCCCCGCCCCTCCCCCGCTGGTCCCCGCCCCCTCCTGCGTCCCGAAACTTGCCGAGTTGTTATCGAAGGCCTTCTCCTCTTACCAAAGCTCCCCTACGGTTTGCAAAAGAGATCCCTCCTTCCTCTTGCCAAAGCCCCCCCAAGCTGTTGACTGCAGCCCCTCCCCGACGCCGTGTGCCCGACGCGGGGTGGGGGGAGGGGGGCAGGGACACCCCATCCTCTGCCTCCAAAGTTTGTTTAAACTTGGCTTGTTGAGGCCAGCGTAGCTACTCACCACAGCCAACTCTTTGTCCGTTTTGGGGGCGACATCTCCAGGGAACTTGATGATGGGCGACGGCGCGGCGGCGGCGCGGCCCAACAGGCAGCCCAGGACGCAGAGCGCCCGCAGAGGGCCGGCAAGCGCGCCCCGGGCCGCTCGCGCCTCGGTCATTGCGCTCCCGGGCCCCGCGCGTCGCCCGGGGGTCGCTGGCTCGGTGCGTGTGGCCGCGTCGCCGCCTGGGTGGCGCCTGCTCCGCCGCGCAGCCTGCCGCTCCAAGGGGCCGCTCGACTCGGTCGCCTCGGCTTTGCCCGGCTCAGCGGCGCATGGTCCGGCCCCCGCGCCCCTGCCCGCGCCGCCGCCGCCTGTTCTCGCCGGGGCTGGCAGTCCCTTTGTATGTTTAAAGCCCCAGATGCGCAGCCTCCAGCCACCGCCGGAGGAAGTCTGGATGCAGCGGAAACAAGGGAGGGCGGCCGCCAGATGTGGCCGGCTGGGCTGGGAGGGCGCTGGCAGTGCGAGGAGGGAGGGGGGGCGCACTCAGGCCCGCCCCTCTCCGCTCCACTCCCCCACTCGCCCTCCTCCTCTTTTCTCCTCTCTTTTCCTTTCTCCGCCTCTTTCCAGCCTCCCCCCTCCCCGCCGCCAGCTGCTCCAGGCCTCTGCGCGCACCATCGGTGCGCGACCTCTACCTCCACCCCCCAGTCCGGGCACAAAGCCTAAGGACCCCCTACGGGAAACATCTGGGGCGACCACTCCAGACGCCTGACGTCCTGAGGTTGGAGAGCCACGGTTCTTGCAGGGGCGCCTGGGGGACAGGACTGCCTGCACTCTCGGGGAGGAAGGGTCAGAGATGGGGAGGAAGGGTCGGATCCAGGTGGTCAGCTGCACGGATAAGTGGTCCGAGACAGAGATTCTAGGTGTTTAGAGATGGAGACGGAGAGAGATGAGAGAGATGGACAGAAATGGCAGGAGGCAGCGAGATGGAAACAAAGTGGATAAACTTTCCTTCCTTCCTTCCTCCCTTCTGTCTCTCTTCCCTCCTTTCCTTCTTCCTTCTGCTAATATTTAAGCATTTACCTGGCCTCAGACATAATGCTAGGTGCTAGATACACAATCGGAACTCAGCAGTCACGGTCCCTGTCCCTGAGGAATGCTCCCTCCCTCTCTCAGGAAACAGAATTCATTAAGTGCTACGCTGTGATGGGGAACGCCAGCAGGCTGTGGGGACACCTGACCTCAGCTCCTAAACTAGTAAAGATGGTCAGGGAAGGCTTCCTGGAAGAAGTGGCTTTCTGAGCTGAGATCTGAAGAGCTACCAGACATTGGAGGGTTGGGGGGGAGGAGTTTGGGTGAGGGGGTCGCAGGGAGATGGGTGTTTCAGTCACAGTCGAGGGAACAACATAAACAAAGGTCCAGAGATGAAAGGTGGCAGGATATACTGGAGCAGGAGGTTCCCTCTCTCTGAAAAGGGTGGGGACAGGGTGAGATGGGCCTGGGGGTCAGCAGGGACCCGCATGGGAGGGGAGGAGATGGGCCTGGGGGTCAGCAGGGACCAGCCTGAGGAGCAAAGTCATGGGCTGAAAGGGTCAGCAGCAGGCTGCCTGTGAGAACCGTGGAGTCCTGGTGAGTCTGGTCTTCATCTTAAGAATGAGAAAGCCTCTGCAGCTTGGGTCTCTGTGGGCTTCGGACAAGTACGGGCTTGTCTGGCAGGCGTGCACTGGCCTGCCAGAAGTCAGCCTGAAAGGAGCCCCTTGGGAGGGCCTTTGCCCTGCAGGAGGGAGCCGGGCCCCCTAGCCTCACCCAGGGAGAAACCTTGGCGGATGGGAGAAGGATGAATCTGAGGTCAGTGGGGGGCGGGGGGTTGCCTCCTGGCTTAGCCCCATTTGGCTCCTGTCCATGTCCTGTGGATAGCCAGAGAGCCAAGTTGGAGAGCCAAGAGCTGGGAGTGAAAATGGAAAAAGTTGTCTCACTAAAGCAGGGTTTGCAAACTCGTGGCCTGTGGGCTGAATCCAGCCTGAGTAGCATTTTGAAATTTGGGAAACTTCATGTAAAAATCTGACTTTCTGGTTTTCTTTTAAAAATTCCCCCAAATCTGGCAATTCTCAGTGCCAGATTCCACATGGCAACAATTAGCTGTAGCCAAATAGCAGCTGCCCCTTTCAGATGAGGCGCGTACTTTGGTTTGCCACAGTCCCCACCATACTCTATTGCCTTGCATGTGACTCAGCCCGGTTTTGCTTATTTACATCACTTGCCCCATTTGAGGTTTAAACTTTTCCCAAAAGCCTTTGTGAGATATTGGGGCTTACACAACATTTCTTTGGGGCTCCTCTGGCAGAGGGCGGCTTTGACTGCATCTCTGCCCAACCTGTGTAGCTTTGGCATTCCAAGGGCGGCAGTGTCCAGTATGGGTGCTTAGTGCCCATTTAGAGGTGCCAGGTCCTAGGAGAGCACAGACAGTATCTTGTGGTAATGGACTTGTTGGTGAGCACATGAGACACACTTCAGGGTCCCTGCACCCCTTTAGCTCTCTGCCAAGCTAACCGGCCGTGGTAACCCTGGAAACCCGTGTTGATGTGGTGGGATCACAAAATGAAAGCAACCAGACCCCTGGTAGACTTTGCAAATGAAAACTAGACTTTTCCCTGAAAAACCACTGAGATTTGGAAATACGCTCATCACGGCCGCGTCTTTTAGGCATCCTAATACAGGGGCAAAGGGTCTGTGGGGTGGGCAGAATCGCGCCCCCCAAAAGGATGTGTTCAAGTCCTAACCACCAGTATCTGTAAGTGTGTCCTCACGCGGAAACAGTCTCGGCTGATAGAATCAAGATGAGATGAGGTCATAGTGGATGGGTGTGGGGAGTGGGCCCAAACCCAATGACTGGTGTCCTTATAAGAGGCAAAATTTGCACAGAAACACACAGCGAGAACTCCCTGGGACCACAGAGGCAGAGACCAGATGGAGGCAGCTACACGACAAGGAACGAACGCCGCGGATTGTCAGGGGCCCCAGAAGCTGGAAGAGGCGAGGAAGCATTTTCCCTGGAGTCTGGAGAGGGCGTGGTCCTGCAGACACCTTGATTTTGGATTTCCAGCTTCCGGAACTGGGAGAGGACACATTTCTGATGTTTTAAACCACCCGTTTGTGCTCCTTTGTTACGGCAGCCCTGGGAAATGAGCACAAGCTGCAACTAGGAGATGCCAGGATATGGCGTACGTTTCCGTCATTCATTCATTCATTCATTCATTCAGGAAAGCTTTAATGAACACCGTCCGGTGCTGGGGCACAGCTGCATCAAGATAAAGTTTGTACTGATGAGGAAGGAAGCGGACAAGGTGAGGCTCCAAGCATAAGAAGACGGGCGCCAGGGGCGGTAGTGGCATCCATGGCTTCCCAGGACCCTGCCCTCCCGCTCGTGTAGCTGCCCCTTAATTGTCCTCTGGGGAGCCTCCTCTCCCCAGGTCTTGGTCCCTGAGGTTCAGGGGATGTGACCTGCCTTCTGGCTCCTTGCTCCATGTGACCCAAGCCTGGCTAAGAAGCGGATCCAGTGCTGCTGGCTAGGTGACGGTTCAGAGATGGGCTGGTGAGTCCATGGGAGCCAGTGAAAATCGAGACTTTCGCTGGAGGAGTCTGAGACGCAGCCGTCGCCGTCAGCTATAAACGAAGTCAGTGGAGTTGCCCTTAAGGGCAGAGGCTTCCTGAGATGAAGCAACACCAAGAAGAGCAGAAAGGGCGACACTCAGCTCCTACGAGGGCAGCTGAATTCCTGGATCCAGCCCTGCCTGCAGCCAGAGTATCCTTGTCACCCACTGATTGCCCCAGGAGCTCAAGGATGGGTTCAGAAGCATTTAACTGTTTTTCCAAATTGTTCTTTCTCCTTTTGTCATGTTAAGGAATGCAACCACCAACCACCCTGAATCAGACCAGCCTCAGCACGAGTGCTCCACCCATGACCTTGGCCTTATTTTGAACGCTAAGATCCTTCCAGGAGGAGCTTAGGCCTTGTTACCATCACCTGCAGAGGATGTGGAAGCGAATCCCTGCCTCTCCCTTTGGAATATTCATTCCCCATCTGAAATAAATGTCCCTTTGTTGGGGGACACCGTGACTCTGGAAATGATTCTTCCTGGTCCCCTATTTGCCACAAATACACTTCACTTGGTGAGACAACCTCTTCTGGTGGACGGTCTGATTTCTCTCGCGAGGAGCGAACCCGCCTTGGTTTCCGTAACATCCTGAGCTTTTTAGTTCGCGAGCCAATACATCCCCTCCTCCCAACTCTGTGTTTTGTTTGTCTTGCTCGAGCCTGTTTGGCTTGAATTTCTGTCACCTGCAACCTGAGCCTCCGGCCTGATGTGGTGAAAGACGCAGCTGAGAAGCCAGGACCAGTCAGCCTCTGCTGAGGGCACGCCCTCCCTCGAGTAGTCTGCCTCTCATCTCGTGGAGCCCTGAGGAGCACTCGGGGGGGCACACATGTGCCAGCACTCGGAGTCCCAGAGGAGCAGAGGTGGGACCTTCTCTGGGGCCAGGGGAACGAGGGACCTTTGAGCTTCCTGCCGGGACCCAGGCCCAGGCACAGCAGCCTGGCTACTCCCTGCCTAAAACCGCTTGCCAACTTCAGCCCACTCTTAGGATAAACCCCACTTCCTCGCCGCGGCCCGCAGCACCCCCCTGACCTGCCGTGACCTCCCGGAACAGTCCGGAGCCCGGCGGGGAGCAGATGGTGCTCCCGGACAAGGATAATGCCAGGAAAGCTTATTGACAAAGGGATTAAGTCCAAAGCGTGTGGGCTAAGGGGAGCCAGTCCCCGCGCAGAAACCTGGGCCAGAAGCTCCAGGACGGTGACCATCACGGGCCCAGAGGCTTGACAGGACAGGGCAGATACGGGAACCCAAGGGGAGAGCATTGCATGGAACAGGTGCCTCGAACAAAGCAACCAGCCCAAGAGACCTCCTGGGGAGAGATCAGGACTAAATCCGCCGATCCTGGCTCCTCCGGCCCTCTGATCCCTCGCTGGGCGCCCCCGGCCCAAAGCTGTGCCAGGGCCGCTGGGAGGTGGAGCGCCCTCTGGAGGAGCCAGCAGAACTCCTCACACCATCTCAGAATGTGCTTCCTGGAGGACCCAACAGACACACCTGTACCCTTGGCATGTAAAGCTTCTCATCTGTTAGGTCTCAAATGGCGCCTCCTCAGGGAAGCCTTCCTTGATTGACCATCTCCCAAAATGATCTGCTCCCTGTGTTATTTCTTCCAGGGCAGCTACAACTGTCTTGAAACAATCTTGTTACTTTAGTTTCTTGTTTGTTTATTGACTCGGGCCATTCCTCCAGAATGTCAGCTGTGGCCCCAGTACCTAGAATGGTTTTGCACATAGTAGGTACTCAATAATTGGTTGAATAAATGGTTGAACAAATTAATGGTCTCCCCTAGATGTGGGGAGATGGCTGGGCAGGCTGAGTCACCAGAGGTGGGAACGG